ATGGACTGCCACAGAGCCAACCAATGTGCCTGGGCAGAAGTGCAGCCAGAGTGGGCCACGGAAGTGAGCATGGTCCCACTTCACCGCATACACACTGGAGGTGTTTACAGGAGAGGGGCCCACGACTGGGAAAAGGCATCATGCTAGGAAAAACAGTCTGTGAAGGAGAGACCCTCAATGAGAAGACCTGACGCACTGACAGATTCAAGTCCAGCTGACTGAGAATGACACAGTTTGGGGGGGTGTCTGTGTGTGTCTCATTCACACACAGGGCCTCAAGGAGGCAGAGCCAACTCCAACACCAAACATGGAGCGAGACCCGTAACAGCCAGCCGTTCCCCAAAACACCACTCTCTCTCACATACACATACATACACTTATTCTCCTCTCCCATACACACTGTACTTGAAAACATTTATATTTTAAAATAGTCTAGGAAGTTTCATGGTTTCCTAAAGATACCTTGTTACCTAAGAACAGTATTTTGTCACCTAAAGTGGTCACCTCCTGCAAAAGGTGATCATCCACGATCCTGCCACCGGCATCTTTGTAAATGTTATCCCATCAAATATACTCCCAATGTACCTCCTTTAACCACGGTCTTTGCCTTTATCAATCTGTAAGTCTAAGCTCCCCTAGCACTTTATCAAGAGTTTCTCAGCTCTGTTTCCTCCTTTTACAACACACCTTAACACTTTTTAGTTAAAAAAAAAACTCCTCTTGGAATTGCCTACTCTACATACATAACTGAGTCTCAATGACGTTGACTTCGAAGGAGTAAGTTCTGTACAAACACTGACTACATTGTGTGTCCCCCACAGACTGCGTCAGCACTGGAGAAAGGGAAGCCATTATCCACCTCCTTGGAAAACAGGCCGTGGTGAAGGTCACAGGAAACAGGCAACTCCAGGTGCCACAGCCAACAGTGGATGTTGCAAGTTTCTTTTTAATAACAGCTCCACTGAAATCAAGGAGACTTAGTGGCACAGTATTTAAGCAGCAAGGCGGGTGGACTTAACCTACCGGCTGCACTGCGGGAGAAAGACCCGGCAATCTGCGTCAGTAAGATTACAGCCTTAGAAATCCTATGGGGCAGGTCTACTCTATCCTACGTGGTCACATGGTCTGAATCCCTTAAGGGCACCAGGTTGGGTGCTGGTTTACTTAGAACGAACTCACCCAGCACACAGGTCACCTGTTGGGCTGTAGCACTCCATGGCTTTCAGGGTACTTACAGATGGGGGTAGCCACCACCCTCTCCCACCCTCCAGGTGTCATCTCCCACATTCTCATCCCCCCAGTTCTAGGCATCAACTCAACAACTTTCCAACACCATGAATTTCCTGTTTTACAGTTTGTAAGGAGCTCTCACGCGCAGTGGTTAAAGCATCCCCACGTTGACAGAAAGGCAGGTGGTGTGAGCCCAGTCACAACTGACTGCATGGTAATATTCTGGGGTGGTGTGGGGAGGAATATTTCGTAGGATTTGAATCTAGCCTCCTTCATTTAGCATGATGTAGAATGTTCTCAACAAGCCTCCCTCTGGTACTAGCGTGAGGTCTCAAGTTCAAGACAGCATTCTTTGGAAATCTGGTACACAATTATTTATTCTGCATGTCATACCCGCACCCCAGAAAAGGAAAGAGAAGAAACGAGGAGGGAGAAATAAAGAACACCACTCTACCAGTCAGTCCCCGAGTGCCCTGCTCCCCCAGATGAACAGTCAGTCCTCAAGCACCCCATTTCCCGGGGACGAGGGAGGGTGGCACCCAGTGCACAGCAGCTAGCAACCCCTGCCTCCTTGGTGGTCTCTCTGGGACTCCCCCACTTTGCCCTCCAACCCTGGGATCTGACTTTGCACTTGGACACGGCTCACTTCTCTGCTCCTCTTGTGTCCTGAATCCTCACTTCCTTAACTATGTACCTAAGTGACCTGGTGCTGTGTTTGCACGGCAGCTTGCTTTCTCTGTAGAGGTGTCCTTGGATTCTGGGGTCCCCGTCTGACCTCTGGGGAGGGGTTGTGCATATTTCTGCAGGGGGTGAGGGAGGTAGGGAGGGGGTGAGGGGCTAAGTGGGCTGCCACTGCCAAAGCCGGGCAGGGCTGTGATGTCTGCTGAAGGCCAGCAGTCACGGGGCCGCAGCCTCCCAGGTGAGGCGACACAGTGACGCCCAGGGCCATGGCGTGAGCTCTGCCCACTTCCGCTCAGTGACAGCCCCAACTCACTCAGCTCTGCCTCCTGAGAGGTCTCGCCCACCTGAGACGGGCTGAGGGCACTTCACACAAAATCTCCCTTTTGAATTTTCTAAAACCCGCTTTTAGACTGGGCAATCCAAGCCTCTGGTGTGAGTAATGAGGTGTTTGGGGAGAGGAAAGGTTTTCAAATGACACAGTTTAGTGTCTCCTAACGTACCCACAAGTCAAATGACAGAGCGGAAGTGCCACAAAATCAATTCAGAAAAGGAGAAGAAAAGTCTTCTAATTAGACATAAAAAGAAGGAAATAATCAACTACGGAAAAAGTGGTCAAGTTAATTTCCCTTGAGACTTGTGACAAACACAAGCAGTCTCTCTCTGTGAGCGAGGCAGTGTCCTGTCAAGATGGGACGTGAAACCCGTGTGCTTGGAGCCTCAGTAACCACTCACAGAGCAGTCTCAGGAAAGCAAACCAAACTGCCCACCAGGACCTGAAGGAACTGCCTGTTCTGTGGGCCGGTGGACCGCACGGCAGGTCACAGAACCTGGAGCCAAGGACAGCGGCTGAAGGTCGGAGCCTCACTCTGGAACCTAATGGCCATGTGACCAGAGACAAGTGTCTCTCTGAGCTTCGGTCTCCCCACCTGCAATGGGGGTGCACAGAATGTCAGGAGGCACCGTGTTGGAGCCATTTCCTCCAGGAGCGTCTCCTGACCCCAAGGAGATGCGGTGGCCTGAATATAGGCACATCAGGGCCAGGGAGGGGCCGGATGGAGTGACCAATGAGGGGGTGCAGGCAGGGGGTGAGAAGTGTGTGACTGAGGAAGTACTGGAGCACAGGAGACACCTTCCATGAACAGCTTTCTAGAAAGTTCCAGCCATCAATCCCCACAGCACATACTCTAGGACTTCTCTGCCCTCCTGTGAGCGAGAGCGCCGTTTCCAACAAGACCCCGGCCTCAGGCGGCATCTGCGCTCTGCACCTGCTACTCCTACCTGGACCCTTCACCATCTGCTTTCCTGTGTCCACGTTAATCCCTCACCTACTCTCCTATGTCCTTACGTTAAGTCTCCCTTGTCAAATTACTGCCATTTCTCTCCTGACAGAACTCACATTAATGAGAACCTTCAGGACACTTTGGGGGAAGAAACCCAAACCCAAAACAAACAGAAAAAAAAGCCCAAAACAGACCTGCAAACACACAGGGATCCATGGAGCATCTGCAAAAGAAAAACCCTCACAATATAAAGACATGAGACCACGACGGCATCAAACTCCAAAGGCAACAACCCTTGAGGAAAACCGCGGAGTCTCAAGGGGCGAACTCCTCAACACAACCATCAACCACATTCAGAGGGAACAAAGGCGTGATCTCAAAAACACCTCCCTCCAGTCCTTCCCGAGAAGGAGGATCCAAACACAGAGAGGCAGCCACGAAAGAGGAGGGCATGTGAGTCACCAAACAAAGGAGCCCATTCCCGAGCGAGCGCTGAGGATGGAATCTCTTCACCTGAAAGGAACTGCAGGAGAACAGCACAGTCGGCTGAAAGGGCAAGCAAATCAGAAAGCAATCGGGCTCCAGAGGGAACCTGGACCAAGACACAGGGCTGTCTGATGTACAGAGTCACCCCTCGAACAGCTACACAGAAAGGCAAATGAATGAAAAGATGAGGGAAGCATCAACTCCAGAGAGGACAAAAATCTACACGTGAATCCTAACTACTGTGCACCACAAAGTACCACAAAGCAAAGAGTCACATAACCGTATTACAAACATCTAGCACGGATTTAAGCAAAAGTTAATATTTTTATTGGGAGAGTGAGATGGGGAGGGAAGAGAGAGCTTGAGAACAAGTGTGGGAAGAAGGGTGAGCAGAGTAAACTCAAGTTTGGTGAATGAATGTGCATGTGTGTGAAGAGTTAAATGGCCACTTTAAAATACGTTTGTTCCAAGACAAACAAAAATGATGACAATAACAACATAAGCACACTATTTAGACACATGAAGGTAAGTTCTGGAGAAAGCAGCTAAGAGTTTACAGTTACCCTTGCAAATGCAATGGGGGCTGGATACTGGGGTTTTCTGTCATAAGCCATATGACTTTAAAAAATTTTAAATATAAAATTCTTTTGATAAAAAGGAAATTAATAGGGCAGGGGGGAAACCCCACTACAAGGCCAAGCATATTCTCTGGGCCTTAACTACCAGAACTGGAAACTGAGAAGGAGAGAAGGTGTAGGCACCCTGTGTCCCGGGGCTTCCCCTTGCCGGGAACAGGAGGGCACCGGCCCGCTTCCACCCTGCACTGGACTCCCTGACAGACACTCTACCATCAATCAGGTCCTTCCTCCTGTGAAACCCATCCCTCTTCCCCAATTCAATCCTTGTCTTGTGAAGGGGGCTAGGGTGGGTTCAAGACTGTGGGCCCTACAGGGTTCCTGCGAAGCTGAAATGGGAAAGTGGAGCGTGGGATCAGGCCCTGCAGGGTCCCAGGGAGGGGTACTGGCAGGGGAAAGGCTTGGGCAACATCACGAGAGGATCAGAGGATCAGTGGTTTCAGCTGCACCGCTGCACAGAGACAATGAAGGCTGGTATCGAACAGGCACCAGGGGTTCAGGGTTTAAAGGAGGTCATGCAAGTGGGTACCCTGCACTGTGAGGCTCCACGAAGGCCTTGTCACCTGCGTGGCTTCTGGAGGTGACCTGCACCCTCATACATCTAAGCGTCAAGGAACTAAGAAGGCAGTATCTTAACACATTCAATGTGGTTTCCATAAAAGACGGAAGTGAGAAATCCATTCATTACCTGTGCACATAATGAAGCTGATGAATGGAATCGATGGCCAACACCATCTCACCGATGTAGAATCGTGCCATATCTTCTGGAAGCCTGTCTTCAAATTTACTGAGCAGGGTCAATAAATCACCGCCCACGTAGTAATCCATGACCAAGTACTACCAACCAGGAAGAGGAGAGAAAGTGTGTGTTAGTCATCACTGAGGCATGTTATCCGGCGGGGCCCACCCTTGGAAAGACGTCCTGTGGGGACCGGGAGACGAGGGTCAGCAAAAGAGGAGGACCCTCCCTGAGCTGGCCCAGCATACTGACTGCAGCAATGGGCTTGGGCACGGCAGAGATCTGGAGGACAGATTCGGAGGACAGGGAAGGTGTCAATCTGTTGTTCACAGGGTTGCTAGTCACAGTCAACGCGACAGCACCGAACAACAACAAGCCTGATGATTTACGGTGAAACACCCACTCTGAAACGGGCTGCAGGAAACAGGAGCTGAGGAAGGAGGTTGTGCGAAGGCACAAGCATCAAGTCTACTCCAGGCTTTGGGATTTTTTCCTCCAACTACTGTGTAACACAAAACTGTGTTCATGAGGACTGGGCTAGGAATCAATCAAATAATATGAAACTGACATTTGTAGATCGGTAAACAAAGGAATTCAATGTAATGACATTTTTTAGTGCTTTAAGAAACCACTCACAGAAATAAGAGGGATCATCAGTAACCCGGCAAGTGGAAGACAGTAAGAAACCTGGGCTTTGTGACGTGCATTCAGGTATTACAGAGAAAAATCCTGCCAGAGCGGGGTCCACACAACTCCCTCTCCTGCGTAGGGAGCTGCACATCCAGGAGCCCGACACTCATCGCTGTGGGAGGTCCCTGGGCCCAAAGTCCAAGCATGCCTCAGCGCTTCAGAACCTGCTCCTCCTGCGCCCCTACCCTCAACCACGGGGCTCTCAAGAGCCCGGCACGTCCCATCCCAGCCCTCGGCCTCCTCCTTCCCTCTGCGTCCCTGTCCTGTCCAGCAGGTACCAAGGCCTTACCACTCCTCCTCCCTGTGCTTCTTAAGTCAGTGCTTTTCTCTACCACCACCACCACCACCAGCCCATCACAATGAAGATTCTTGGCCACTTCCAAGCTGTTTTCCATGATGCTAAAAGCATCTTGCTCTGCTGATGGTCAAAATCCTGATCTTGGATTCCAGATGCCAAGTCCCCTCTTGTTCCTTGCTCTTGGCCTCCCCAGCTGGCTTCCCAATCACACTGCACTGGATTTCACTCTAAGTATGCCGGCTGGTCACCACATTCGGCACTAGAGAACCCACGGCATAATCCATGGTCAGCCCAAGGACTCCCCAGCTGTGGACAGAGACTCCCAAGCAGCACTTTGAGGCTACGAGGCAGAAAAACCAGAGGAGGGGCATTTCCAGGGTCACAAAGCCCTAGACAAGGAAGGGATCCTCACAGGCGGGGTGCAGTCAGTCCTTTATCACTGGACTGCGGGCAGCAGACGCAGGAGGGATGGTCTCCCAAGTTCTCTCACCTCCTTGCAGTGCCTGGAGGGATGAGCAAACAGCCATGCCTTTCCCGTCCAGTCAGTGGCACGTGGTGCGACATTTACGGAGAAGCCAGCATGAAGGACAGCCGACAGCTACCACGTACCAAACACCTGCTGTGTCCTGTGCTAGGATTTGAAGTGGGTCCACCCCTTCCCCGTGAGCCCTCAGTCCTCAAGGAGGACAGCCCCCAGCTCTGGAGAAAAGCCGTCCTCGGCTGGTGGAGACGGGAGCAGCTGTGCTACACATGAGCGAAGCCGGCAGGCTTTTTCCAGGCACCTTCCATCCTGCCTCAGTATCTGAGGCCCACTTCTGTGCAGCACCCAGTCCCTCTGCTCTGCCCTCACCCCACAGGTGGCACTGGCTTGCCGCCCCCGGCTGCAGGCACTATGACCTGGGGCTCTCCCAACCAGCGACGGGCTGGGAGAGTGAGCCGCTGCTCTGTCCCTCCAGGGCCAGCATGATTCCAGCTGAGCTGGTTCACTTGATTACTTGTTGGCTGGCTGCCTCCTCATCTCAGACATGAACTCAGGCGACACTGAGGGTGCAGCTCACACGGTCCTTATCTAAGGAGCTTCCATCTAGGGAGGAGCACCGGCCATCCACAAACACAAGTGCCAACATGGTTGTCTCCGAGAGCAGCAGGTGTCAGGGAGAAGACAGAGCCATGCAGGGTGGAAGGGCATGCTGGGAGGCTACCCAGCACGGAGGATCTTGAAGGCTCTAGAAGGAGCTGGTGGTCAAACTGAGGCCTACAAAGCTGCTGTGTGAGGGTCTGGGCTCATTTTCCAGAGGGACAATGTGTGGCAGGAAGGGAGGAAGAGAAGGCATATGGCATGCACAGATGTGGTCAGCGAGGGGAGCAGGGACAAGCCAGCAGTGAGGGGACACAGCAGGCTGTTCTCTTTGATCAGTGGAGAATGGACTGAAAGGGAGAGGGAAGAGGAGTCCAAGTCAGGTCGTGGGGGCTGTGACGCTGGCCCATGAAGGAAGGAGAGGACAGTGCAGGACATGAGCAATGTCCTCCCGGGGGAAGAGGTTGCAATGGCCACCGAGGTTAAACCAGAGCTGTGCCCCTGGCCTGCAGAGAGCTGACCCTCAGGCTCCCACATCTCAGAGGACTCCAGCATCACGCCAGAGCCTGACTGACGGCCTCCTGGAACACAGTCCGTGAGAGAAGGACACTGCAGGGGCTTATCAAAAAGCAGACAAGCACAAACTCATTTTGGAAGAATCAGACCATTCCTCCTGTGTCATGTAACCTGAGATTGTGTACTGAGTCAACAGGACAACACCCTTGAGTACAGGTGCAACAGGTGTGCTTTTTATGACACACCATGTTAAGGTACCACAGTGAAATCTCTTAACCTGGACTAGAGCCCGAAGGTGGTCAGCATGAAAACTGATGACCTGGAAGGAAACTGTGTGCTGGGCATGTGCCGGGCAGTCAGTGGAACCGAGATTCCTTACTAATTAGACCAGGTTTAGTAGAGCACCCGCTTCACGTCCTATGCAGGACACAAGGACAGGCGATGTGTATGTCTATGTGGACAACTCCAACATCTCCTTCTTTAAACGATGGCTTCCTCACTGGGATTCCCAACTGAGAATAAACTGGGGGACACTCAACACCCCACAGGGCCACAGCCATGCTAACTTCAGGGCAATGATCAGAAACAAAACCAAAAGCAGTATCTTCCTCCTGTTCAGACTGATGTTAACCTGCTATATGGTCCTCCTGAAGACCTTCATCCAGCTCTTACCAAAACTGGGAGCAGCTGGATGGAGAGCTCCCCTCGCCCTGAGCCCTGGAGGCCACGGGGCTTAAGGGGGCCTGTGGAGACGCCTCGAGCACTCAGACTCTGCAGATAGTGGGTGGGCCCCCGCTGTGTCCCCATTATCAATGTCCTCGGGCAAGTGGTGTAGCCTCTGTGTCCAGAAATGCACTTTGTTTATAAAGGGGTAAAACGGGGAATGCCCAGCTCCAGGGTCACAGGGAAGACAAGATATTCCCCTGCCTCATGAACCGTAACATCCTGTGGACTGCCAAAGAGAACAAATTTGTCCTAAGAAAAGTGTAGCCAGGATGCTCCTTGGAGGCAACGATGATAAAGCTTTGCCTCATATACTTCAGGCACGTTGCTAGGAAGAGCTATTCTTTGGAGAGGGACATGATGCTCACAAAGGCAGAGGGCCGGTGGAGGAGGGCAAGACCCTCTGCCAGGGTGATGGACAGTGACTGCTGCAGCGGGCTCTAGTGTGTCAGGAAGTATGAGGACGGCACACGACAGGACAGGGTTCAGATCTGCTGTTCACAGGGCTGCTATGGGTTGTATTTGATGGCATCTTAAAACAACATGAATCAGACGCTTACTAAAATGTGCCTGTCTTTAAGGTTTAAACAGATAAAACAGTAAGCTGATTTATCCAATTCAGGACTCTAAACTCTAAAGGGTTTTTTTTTTTTACTTCTGAGGAGAAAACATCAAGAATAAAAGGGACTCTCCAGTTCAGCTGCCATAAGGGACGGAGCACACCATCACAGAGCCTGTCAGACCTGACCTGAAGCTGAGGTGACAGGGGCGCGCAGGCCCCTCACTCCCACCATGGACGAGACAGCAGGACACTGCTCCACGGAGGCCCTGCCCGCTGTAACTCAATGGCGGGAGGTTCTCAAACTTCCTGAGCAAAGAGCTCACGTGACTCATCCCTTGACTTAGTCCAGAAGTCTGACTTCCTTTCTACTTCTAAAGCGAGTTGTCCTGCGATACAGACGGTTCACTCCCACACACCAGAGGGTTTAAACCAGGCCTCACAAACGCTAACATCTACGCCCGTGTGTGAGGCGCCATCCCAGCCCCAGGCAGAGCTCTGGGGAGAGGACGAGAACGGGGCTGGTCCTCCACACTGAGCCACGCTGGCTCCTTACTGACGGCCCCGCAGGGAGCACCTCGCGCGCCCACCATGAAGACACACACTCAGGAAGGGCCACGCGTCAATCCCTGCCTGCTTCCTCTCAGCCTTGATTCAGGACAGGATGTTTTAATGTGTGTGTGAACTGTTGCATGAAGAACTGATTTGCCTTATAAACTAACTCTAACTCAGATCCAAAACAAAAGATGGAAGACATTTGAAAAGCACCAAAGTCAAGTGAACAAAATAATCCATTTGCTCAGTGATTAGCGAAAATCGTGGGCAGGGATTTCATGAGCCTATTTCTTACAAGTTCCTCCCACAAAACAAACCCCCAGCTTTCCCCAGCTAGACACACATCTTAGTGACAGAACAAAGGGTCAGAAAGCACGGGCTGTGGACCGAGCGGGACCCACCAGGTAGTTCTCGTCCTGGAAGGCGTAGTGCAGTGTCGTAATCCACTGGCAGTCCCCGTTGACCAGCACGTCTCGCTCCTCCCGGAAGCACGCCGTCTGTGGGGAAGAGAGGGCAGAATTAGTTGTGTTCCCCTGAACGGTGGCCTGTGAGCTGTTCCGAAGGGGACAGGCTGTGGAGACTGCTCTGTGGCCAGGCCTTCTCCAGCAGGCGCCCACCCACCCCTGCATTGGCACCACCACCTTCAGGACCTAGAGGCCAGGCATGTCCCTTCTTCCATGTGCCAGGAGGTGCCAGGCTAATTTCCATTCGAGGGCCTGGCTGGGCCCACCCTCCCTCGGCCTGGTCCTCACGCTAGGATGTCCTGACGGACTCCTCTTAGCCAGCATAGCTAGCCCACCTCCAGCACTGCCCTCCTGCAGAGGCCCACATCACTGGGTCTCCAACATAATTAAAAGAGAACTCTACGGCTCGCACATAAAAACAAGCTTTAGATCCTACTCTACGTAGCGGGGGTCTGCAAAGCTTTGAGAGCTTGCGATGGGGAAGACACAGGAGGTGTGTGCTGGGGTTTCCCTTTACGTGGGCCTCCTGATGACCAGTGTAACATCTGCCTTTCCCACTGTTTCAAAACAGAATGACTGACACAAACACGTGCTATGCCACCAACCTCTAACAGGACGAGAGCCCTCAAGGGCTCAACAGTCAGCTAAGCACAGGTCCCCAGAGAGTTCCAGAAGCACCAGGACCCCTCCTCAAAGGCGACTCGGACACCAAGGGGTAAAGAGGTCGTAGAATGAACACTAGTATTGTCTGATAGAGTGTTCATAAACTCTGGTGGTTTAGTGGCAAAAAGTTCACAGTACCAACTCAAAGGCAAGCAGTTCAAATCCACCAGCTGCTTGCTCCCTGGGAGAAAGACGGTCAATCTCCTCCCGTACAATTTAATGTGAGAGGGTCAACTATGAGTTGGTTCCAATACCTGAGTAAGAATGTAGAAGGCACAGTTCTCCAGTATCCAAACTCTTAATGAGACTGACTTTCTGAGTTTGAAGACTCCAGGACATAAGCTTGCAAGACACCCAGGCCAAGTGGCCTAGCTCCATTCCTAAAGCCCACGCCCCGCATCCTATTCTGCAGTGGTGTCCGCATCTTCAGGTCAGTAAGCAGCCATCTAAGATGCAGCCACTGGTCCCTTCTGTCTGGAGCAAAAGTGGAAGAAATCTGTCCAGACTGACGGCCACGAGAGCCACAGCCTCTTCTGGATTCTCCACAGGAACCAGACAGGACCCGTCACCACCAACCACCATTCTGAACAGGGGCACAGACAGTCCCAGACCGAACGGCAGAAAACTGTAAAACCAAATTCAGACTCCTAAGTCCAGCAGACTTATGGGACCAGTGGAGACTAAAGGGCCTCCGAAGATCAGAGTCCTGAGCTATGTTTCTACTCCTGGAGGTCACCTTGTGGCCAAGTAACAGCCCCAGATTGTGCTGAGGGGCAGGATTCAAAACAGAGGGACAGAGGGTGACATACTGTGCGGGCTGTGAACCGGCAGTTTCCTCTTAGGAAGAAAAGGACACCAGGTGGGCATATGGAGACAGATCCAGGAGGGGGCGTCTGAAAACAACCAGGGAGGAATTCTGGGCTTTGGGGTCACCATGCTGGACTCAGCTCAGGGGTGAGACCAAGGGACACTAAAGCAAATGGGGCTGGAGCACGCTGCAGGCCCCAGGGCCTGACAGGGCACTAAGAAAAGCCAGCCAGAGCGCCAATCCTGTGGGCCACTTCACTCTCTTCCAGAGGCAGGTATAAACATTTCCAACATAAAAGCAGGCTCCAAATTCAATAATCTCTTTTGCATATGGGGCAGCACTGCTAAAAAGATCCAAAACTTCCATCGAGATTTTTAATTTGCCTCTCAATAAATCTCTGACCCACAGATCCGGGGCGAGCTTTGAGCAAAGCATCTGGAAAACACACAGGGTGACGCTGAGCGCGTGTTCTCGCCCCGAGCTGGCTCCAGAGAACTGCAGCTCACCAGCTCCTGGGCACCGTCCTCCCAGGGGGAGGGTGTTGGAGGGGGTGAGTGTGTGTGTGTGTGTGGGTGTAGTGGTAGTGGAGACCACTGGGGGGGTTGTGCAGGGGTGTGTGTGTGCGGATGGGTGTGTACTGGGGGTTGGTGTCATGAGGGGTGTATATGTGTAGATCACTGGTGGGGGGTGGGGGTGTACTGGGGGTCGGTGTCGTAAGGTGTGTGTGTAGACCACTGGCGGGGTGTGTGGTGAGGGTGTGTGGGTGTGTATTGGGGGTCGGTGTAGTGAGGTGTGTGTGTAGACCACTGGTGGGGTGTGGGGTGTGGGTGGGTATGTAGTGGGGGGTGTCGTGAGGTGTGTGTATAGACCATTGGTGGGGTGTGTGGTGAGGGTGTGTGAGTGTGTAGGGGGGTGTCGTGAGGTGTGTGTGGAGACCATTGGTGGGGTGTGGGATGTGGGTGTGTACTGGGGGTTGGTGTAGTGAGGTGTGTGTGGAGACCACTGGTGGGGTGTGTGGCGAGGGTGTGTGAGTGTGTCATTGGTGGGGTGTGGGTGTGTACCGGGGGTCGGTGTAGTGAGGTGTGTGTGGAGACCACTGGTGGGGTGTGGGGGTGTATTGGGGGTCAGTGTCGTGAGGTGTGTGGAGACCATTGGTGAAATGTGGGGTGTAGGGGTGTACTGGGGGTCAGTGTCGTGAGGTGTGTGTAGACCATTGGTGAAATGTGGGGTGTTGGATGTGTATTGGGGGTCGGTGTCGTGAGGTGTGTGGAGACCACCAGTGCTGACCTCTGCTCTCTTCAGCATCTCCCACTTGTTGAGTATCTTCATGGCATAAATTCGTTCAGTGTTCTTCATTTTGACAACAGCAACCTGAAACAGAAATGCCAGTTTAATCAAGGTTTCCTTCGCAGAACTGAAGACGAGTACATTTCAGTGCAACTATGGGGAAACTGAGGCACTGGAAAGCTGGGGAAATGAGCCAAATTCTTCATACAAGCATCAAGACATACTTTTTGCCACACTGCAATCTTAACGATGTTACCTGCTCTGTTTAGAAAAATCTCAACCTGGAGTGACAGGGACCCAGGGTTCAAATGACTCAAATGCAAAGTCAGACTAAGACATTTTTGCATTGGTAATGCTGACACGTCCCTCAGGGGGTCCCAGCTTTCCTCCCTGTGCTGAATGCCCCATGCTATCTTGTCCTCTCCCCCATCGCCACTCTCTGCATAAGCCGTTTCTTTCAGTGGGCAGTTTTCTTCACTGGCAATGGTTAACGGTATGGCCTCTGGAGGAGTGTGGAGAATTGACAAGGTCCCTTGGTAGTGCCGCAGTTTCCACACCTGTGAAACAGGGACAGCGTCGTCCTGACTTCTTAGAGCACTGAGGGACATATGAGTGTTCAGAGCAGAGGCAGGCACACAGCTGGTATCCAGGATGTGAGCTGGCAGGCCTCACTCTTCACCGTCCAGCTTGAGGGTCACATCTTCCACCAAGGCCTCCGGGACTTCCCAGTGCCTCTCATCACTCCAAGGCACGGCCTGGTGCCTGCACCATCCCAAGGCCCACCCTACTCTCTTTAAATCAATCAGTCACTGGTCAAGTTCCCAGCCAGCACTGTACACAACTAACCAGCTGTTAAAGGGACTTCTGGAATTTTTTGTCACTAATGACAGCCAGCCAGTGTGTCCCCGCACAGAGCAGGCACTGACTGAACTCTTTACCACCACTTTACATCCTAGTGACTATGCGTGTTACACTCGTCCAGTACCTGGCAAGGTGCTGGCATGTTCTGCTTCTCCTCCAGCAATCCTAGAGCCCAGGGAACTTCCTCAGCTGCACAGACCCTGAGCCTGAGGCTCACAGAGGCTTAGTGACAACCCCCTCCCTCCCCAGCCTTGGGCGCATACCATAGACTCCACTCTCGTGCTGGTCACGAGCAGTGATCACCTTCCCTCTCCCAGTCAGGGTGGAGCACAGTGAAGCCACACCCTAACAGGACCCCAATGCCTGCTCCAGGGTTAAGAGGCATCGGGCCGGGTCCCTGGTCACAAGTGGGCTGCTGCCAGCTAGTCTTAGAAACCAAGTCTGTGTTACTGTGGACAGAGCACTCACTGCCTGGATAAAGGCCAGTGCTCCTGTGTCTGAGAACTCCAGGCATGCTCCCTCCCACGGACAAGCAGCTCCTTCCTCCTAAGGCCTCACTACCAACATAGGTAAGTGTAAAAACCTGGGCAAAACTGGGTCCCAGTGTGAAACAAAAGGGTGTGAAGTACTTCCCGCTGAAATGATGCAACTCAGGACAGTAGAGCTGACAATTCTGACTTCTGTGTGTGCCCACCTGGGCGGACCACACTGACTGTGGGCAGGGCTGGTTGTAATCGTCCCGGAAGTAGGTCACCAGGCCTGGTTCCTTGGTGGTGCCACAGTGTGGCTGGAACAGCCAATCTATCGATAACCAGACTGTACCATCACTGTACCAACCTGAGACCCTAACCTTGACTCTCTGAAGACGACAAACCTCATGAACTGCTCAGAACGCACTGGAGAAGACGTGGAACACTCCACACTGAGGCTGGGAAGTGAATTCTTTAGAAGATGCTCACTGGGCATTGACTAATTCCAGAAAAAATGCAAATGGTCATGAACAAATATACGGAAGGCAAACGTGTACCCACCCATCCATGGAGAAACTGCCGTCACATCAAGAGTACGTTATGTAGGGGACATGCCAACGCCCACAACCTATAGGTGGACAGACTTTTGCTATTGTGTAACAGCTGATAAAATGAGCGGAAAATCTGCCGAGAAAATATTGTTTGGTTTACCAGAAACTTCCTTCTAGTCAAAATGCAACTGTTTCAAAGAGCTAATGACTCAACAGATGTCTGGTGAGTCAAGGTACAACATGACAATTACAGCAAATACACGAGGCCAGAGCAAAGCCTGAGCAGGAAGGAAAAGGAAAACAGGTTTGTCCTGAAGGACCTCACAGGCAACCGACAACACTAGCCTGAGCAGATTAGGTAAACATACTCCATCATTTTAAAATTAAGACTTGAAAATGAAACTGCTGAGAAACAAAGAGTAACCTATAAGGGAGAACAGATAAGATTAAGTGCCGATTTCTCAGCAGAAACCATGCAGGCAAGAAGGGAATGGAAGGACA